ATACACACACATACATATAATATAAATAAATGAACAGATTTGGCTGTGATTTAACGGCAATAAACCGACAAAAAGGGACTCCGGAATAACTACGTAATGATGCCGATTTGTACTTGTCTTCTCAATGGAGCTCAGATCGATCGGTGCTAGGCTATGCTAACATTGTAGCAGCTCCTTCAACACTCACAAACGCGCCAAAACGCGCCGCGCAATCGCAAATTCGCGTCACTTCAGTCTCATCTCGTCTGTGCATAGAGTTCGTATGTAATACTCGCGCGAATAATTTGCGCCGCGTTTGGTGTGAACGCACCATAAAAGAATGTTTACAATACATTTCGTTTGAACTTACCAAAACCGAGTGTAATCAAACGGTCAGTTAGGAGTACTCCCTCTTCTAAGAATCGCCACGGAATGAATCTTGAGCTGTGCTGTATTGCACATGCGCTGTGTAACCGGAGCTGTGATTGGACATTCACTGCAGAAGGTGCTGGAAAGATTCGCCAGAAGGAGGAGCCATGAGCGAACAGCCTTCCAGGGTACATCCCAAGTCTCTCATATGTCATTTCCTCGTTTCCTCTCTCCTCGCATGGTGTCCTTGCGTCTCTCCATGCATCCCTGGTGGAAGGGACTAAGACGCAACGAAAGGACGCAAGTGAGGGAACGGAGATGCAATTAAGATACTTGGGCGTCTCGTGAAGGGTAAACATCAGTGGTTAGAGACGAAGCTTTAAACGTCTTCGGTGACGTCACGTCTTTTAAAGTGACATACACAGCAAATTGCCACGCTCGCGCCTCGCGCCTAGAAAAGCTACAGCTGTTGGCATTGTGTTTGTGTCTGTTGGCATTCAACGTTCACCACTCAAAACATTTCACCGGACAAAACCGCTACAGATACACATCGGAGACAAACATGGCCAACACAGAGGTAATGTTAACGTTTAGCGTGAGGAACCCTGACCACCGGCATGTGTTGTTGTTTTAACACCCAGCTGAACGCTAAAGCAAGTTGTCAAACTGGGTCCGCTCTTCTCCATTGTACGCCGATAAATACGCGTAATAGCTAATGTTTCATACTGTATTGTGTTTGCTGCCAAAGGTGTTGAATCTAACGTTACTGTAGCAGTGCACTCACATTATCGCTGTCTGCTCTGCTCACAAGGGAAGTAAACTTTGGGGAGGTCGCTTCCTGGGAGACACTGATCCTTTGATGGAGAAGTTCAACACTTCCATCGCTTATGACCAGAGGATGTGGAGCGCTGACATCCGAGGGAGCAAGGCCTATGTGAAAGCTCTGGAGAAGGCAAAGCTGGTCACCACGGAGGAGATGAACCAGATTTTACAAGGGCTGGATCAGGTGAACTCTCTCTCACTCTCTCACACACACACACACACACACACACACACACACACACACACACACAAGGAAGTTCACCACATTTTAAATCCAAGCTGACTACGAGGCTTTTTGATTATGAACTTTCTGATCACTGTTCTCTCACACTTGCATGCAAGGAAATATACTCCTGCTGCATTGTGGGTATACATGTGTCATTGTCTGCCCATCAGTGTTGGATGTAGGTTAACAGATGACAGCTGAAAACGTGCAATGGAGTAGAATTCCTCTCTGTATTCTGCTGAGTCGGTGCTGAACAATACTGTCATCATGTGATGGATGTCAGCTGCCAAACAGCTTCAGTAATTCTTTCACTCACACAGTCAGGTCAGGGTTCAGGCTGCCCTCTATCCTGATGTTTTGCTTTGGCAATGCAAGTGGCATTAGGCAACCAATACAATACAGAAACACTTAATATGATGTTGATAATTTGCTGTACAATCAGACATAAGTGGATAATTCTGCCTAGAATTCAGTGGGTCCATACGTGTGCTGTTACTACTTAAACGTGCTGTGTTTATGTGGATCTGTTTAGCCTACTTGGTGATGGTCCTTTTTTTACCCTCCAGATTTCTGTAGAGTGGTCTAAAGGTGTTTTTGTGATCAAACCTGAAGATGAGGACATTCACACTGCCAATGAGCGCAGGCTAAAGGTGAGGTAGCGCTCGTTTGTTTTTCATTAAGTGAGTAAAACTGGATTTCGTGTTTTGTGACGAAGGACATTTCTACGTACGAGTTCTCTTACTCAATACGGAGGCAGACATTAAATTGTTTTGTTATGTTTTTCAGTCTGATAATTACAGGATAAATCCATTTAAACTGAGGTCTTATTTTAGAGGTTTATGTTTGCTGTCATTCACCCACTTGCTGTTGCTCTTTTCATGGGACATGTTAAAAAGAAAGAAAAAAAAAAAATAGAATAACACCAGCCTTATCTTTTAAGTGTCAACATCACATGGAGCATTTGGAAGAATGATCAACCAGGATCTAGTATTTTTATCCTTTCAGTTATGAGCTATAAACGTAGCAGTATAACTGTTCTACTGTTGGGTGATGAGCGAGGTTTTAATCCTTTTCACTGATTGTTTTTTCTTGTTTCAGGAGCTGATAACTGCACCTGCAGGGAAGCTGCACACTGGCAGGAGCAGAAACGACCAGGTCTGTCTTTATAATAATAAAACTGTAGTGACTGAGTTACTTTTTGGACTTATAGCCGCATTAGCTGTGGTACCTGATGCAGTGAGACGCTCACTGTGCTGTGTGTGTTGACCAGGTCGTGACTGACATGAGGTTATGGCTGCGAGATGCCATCTCCACCCTGACAGACAATGCCCTCCAGCTGATGTCGACCATGGTGGAGCGGGCGGCAGCGTAAGACAGATACACACTGGTACACCCAAACACACACTTGTAATGGTGCTTTTTTTTTTTTTTTTTTTTTTTTTTTTTTAAAGTTGCCCTTTTATCCTCTTTCTGAACCTCCAGAGAAATTGATGTCCTGTTTCCTGGTTACACCCACATGCAGAGAGCTCAGCCAATCAGATGGAGCCACTGGATTCTAAGGTGACCTTAAATGAAGCGAATCCTACACGTCTGACACTTTTTTTTCTATATTAGATGATATATTGTTCATGTCATTCTCGTGCGTTTGTTTCCCCGCTCGCTGGTGGAACCAACCCTCAGTCATGCCATTGCTCTAAGCAGAGATGTGGACCGACTTCTGGAGATCAAGAAAAGAGTTAATGTTTTACCTCTCGGCAGGTACGGTGTGAACACACGCTAACTATCCGACACTGATTTTGACCCACAGAGAGGACCAGTTAATGAGAATGATTCTTGTTGTTTTCAGCGGGGCCATCGCTGGAACACCTTTTGACATCGACAGGGAGCTACTGCGGAAAGGTCAGGCCACTTGTGTAAAATACTGCAGGATTATACTCTCCTGTCAAAAGTGCACTTTTGTTGCAGCTGTCCTTTTGTGGCTTGTTTATCAATGAAATGCATATTTAAAAAAAACCTGTAACAATGTCCTTTCTGCTCATCTGTAGAGTTGGAGTTTGATGGCATCAGTCTTAACAGCATGGATGCCACGGGCCAACGGGACTTTGTTGGTACGTGAACCACATGTGTGTGTCGGCGCTCTCATCCATTAAAATGAAATATTCTTTCCTAAGTGAGATCGTGTTCTGTGTGTTTCTTTAGCGGAGTTCTTGTTCTGGGCTTCGTTGTGTTTGACCCATCTCAGTAAGATGGCCGAGGACCTGATGCTGTACAGCACGAAGGAGTTCTCCTTCGTCTCGCTCTCTGACGCTTACAGGTCAGTTCCTGTTTTATATTACGTGGTCCTAATTTACAGTTTACATTAAAGCCATTCATTAAGAAATAATAATAAACATGTTAAAATGTCTGGGTGAATTATAACGAGGAGTGATGTTCGTCAAACAGTGATTACTGCCCTTGATGATAAATGTGTACATCTGGTCATTTTAACAAAAATACATTGTATTCAACTACTGTTAAAACCTCATGTTGCCTGCTGTATGGTGTCAAATGAAAATATGAAATCATTGCTGTCACTGAATTTGTCCACCTCCACTTTCAATCTGGCCTTGTGAAGTTCATGCTAAATCTTAGAGCTGGAGTTACTGCTGTGCTGTACTTTTCATGAAGCCCAGTCATTTATTGAGCAGTTGAAACTCGTGTCTCCCTCATATTCACTCTATATTTCTATACTTGTTGTGTATGTAGCACAGGCAGCAGTCTGATGCCCCAGAAGAAGAATGCTGACAGTCTGGAGCTGATCAGGAGTAAAGCAGGACGCGTCTTTGGCAACGTAAGACCTCCGACTAAAGATACTCTTTGTTAGATCGTCTTGTTTTTCTGTTCATCGAAGGGCCCACGTTGCCAGTTATGTTGTGTCAGCAGAGCTCACATCCACTGCCTTTTTTGATCAGATGGTGTAAAAAAACAAATGATACTGAAATGGCTCCTTCAAAAAAAAAAGGTGATATTTTGGTATAATTTCTGCAAACGTGTGATCATTGCAATTAGTGCAAGTGAAGACCACATTTTCCATAAATGCTAAAGTTGCTTCTTGTTGCAACAATGTTGCTTATTTCTATGCTGTTCTCTTTCACTGATTAAAAAAGGATTCTTGTGTAAAGCTAATGTTGTATTGTTCTGCAGAATCAAAGCTGTCTTGTCAAACTGTTGACTGTCTGTATTTCAGTGTGCAGGGTTCATGATGACTCTGAAGGGCCTGCCCAGCAGCTACAACAAAGACCTGCAGGTATGAAAGTATGTCTTTGTGAGATTTCACTACATTGTTTCTCTGGATATTTCCTCTCTTAACTTTTTTTGTCACGCTGTCCTCGTCATCCTTCACCAGGAGGATAAGGAGGCCATGTTCGACTGCTATGATACGGTTCACACTGTGCTGCAGGTGACAACTGGAGTCATGTCCACTCTCAAGGTCAGAGACTTCAGACAGTGTTGATTATTCTGAAAAACTTTGTTGTGGATGCTTTCTTTTACTTTATATAAAAACCCTGACCTCTTTGTTTCAGATTAACCAGAGTGTGATGGAAGCCGCCCTCAGTCCGGACATGTTGGCTACTGACTTGGCCTACTACCTTGTGAGGAAGGGGGTGAGTGGTGTTTAGGTATACTCCCATGCAAATTGTAAGAAAAGTAATTTTAACGAAATTTGATTCAAAAGAAAGTAGACGAGGTTTGTTTAATCAAACAGTGCAATTTGAACATTCTTAAAATGCTGAGTCAAGATTATATTAAATCAGATGGGTACTCGCCTTCATGCTAAGTGAGAAACGTCTTAGCGACATCAAGGCTTTTCTGGTGACTCCATTTAACAAGAACCACAGAGAACAGGTGGATGTAAAATGCTTTATATGTGGGATAGCTATAATATTTGACATGGTGTTGCGTGTATTTGTGTGTTGTTGTGTAACCGTGTGTTCTTCTGTGTTGCAGGTGCCGTTCAGAGAGGCTCATGGTATTTCCGGTAAAGCTGTGTTTGCAGCTGAATCCAAAAATATCGCCCTGAATCAACTCACTGTGGGTGACCTGAGTGCTGTGAGGTGACTCTCTTCTTCTCATTCTCACACACAAAAGCAGAAAGAATAACACCCATTGTTTAATGGAACAGGATTTTCTACAACAGCCACTTAGATTTTCTCACATTGGCCCTCTCTTTTATCGCAGCCCTCTGTTTGGAAGTGACGTGTCCTCGGTGTGGGACTACATGAGCAGTGTGGAGCAGTACAGCGCCCCCGGAGGAACAGCCAAGAGTAGTGTTACTGCACAGGTAGAACACCTGAGGACCTGGCTTCAGAAGCACACACAGTGACCTCGACCCAATCTCACTTCGGTGTTTTGAATCACGTTTACTGCCACAATTTAGATTATTAGGAAATGTCAGATTGAGGTCAAATAGATTATTTTTGACTTGAGAACCATGTTGCCTTTCAATTGTCTCCTCTCTTCTTTTTTAGTAGCTATGATGTTCAGTTGATCATGGACCCGACAATAAATAAATGTTACTCAAACTAGCAGTGTGTTACAGGTTGATCCATTGAAGCAACTGATTTCCACACAGACTCAGGATGCTGCTTAATCCCACAGATAGGCTCCTGTTAACTAGTGAAAGTCATGACAATGGTTTCAGTGATCCGTCTGCCCAAAGATATAACAGCAGAAATAGGTGTGGTTTGGTTAATTTAATGGTAACCTACATACTATCACTGTCAATTTACAGTTAATGTAATAAAACTCACCTGATGAGCTCCACACAAAGCATGTTGTGGTGAGGCAAAGCAGATTTAGTTTAATAGGTTCTATTTAAGTTTTAGGCAAAAGTGCAAAACATTTCACGGTGTTTGTACAGAAACATTCTGTAAAAATGCTTTGCATTCAGCACTTAGTAAGAGTCATAAGCAGGAGTCGTTATGCTGGCTGAGAATTACAGGCATTTATGTAGATTTATAACTCAATAGTTTGTTCCAAACATAAGCAAGTGTACAGTACATTTGAAATGCCTTCATCCTCTAATCTGCTACATTTAATTATCTAACAGTGAAGAGAACCATACGCATGTCAAGCAAAGAAGAAGTAGTAAATTAAACAGTCCCAGAGCTTGTAACTCAGAAAGAATAAACTGACTTGTAAAGCCCTAATTCTACACTTCTATCTTACTCTAAAACACATTTAAGGAAAAGCAGATTTTAGTTGAGTGTGCAAATTTAAAATATTGACTCCTAATGACGACAAAAATAAGGAAACTGAAAGGCCTAACGAGGTAAAGGCTAAACACCAGAGGTGGACAGTTTACTTTCCCTTTGCACAATAACTTAGCTGTAATTCATGTGCCAATGCAGGTGACATTCTTCTCATGACTAACTATCACACAGGTAAAAGTTGCCTTTATACATACAGTAGCTTTTGTCATTTACATCCTGTGTCTTCATGTGCCGGGTCAGTGTATCGGACACGTCGTCCCGAGCACAACTGAGAAAGCACTGAGCCAAAGGAGGACCGCGCTCGTCAGAGCTGCACTCGCCTCGGACCGGTACACAACTCTGCCATCCAGAGGCTGCGTGGGCCTGAAGATGTCCGTCATGGGTTGTCCCGTCCAGAATCGACACTGCTCAACTATTGCATCCAGCTGGAGAGGAGAGGAACAAGATTTCACATCTTTTAGTCAGAAGTTGCAGTAGAAAGTATTATGTTTCTCCTGTGAATAGGGACAATGAAGATTACTTTTACAGGCACTGATCCTTCAGACTTCTTGTTCTAGTCTTATTTTAAAGGGGCAATTCACCCCAAAATAACTTGCCTGTAATGCTATTTATCATAAATCATGACCAGTTCATGATTTCCGAATGTATTTATTTGAGAAGCACAAGCCGAGTGCCATATAGTCCCGTTATATTTGAGAGACATCTCTGCGGCCCATACCTCCAAAACTAGGCACCTCACACCAGTAACATAAAAAGCTTTACCTGTATCTGTATTTTATATCAAAAGTCAGTTTGAAGGGTTGAGGAGATACAACGGGGAGCACTAGTTTGTCACCAGTGTGTAGCCTCCATCTGTAGCTGCTCACCTGTCGGCTGCTGATGGGCAGGGTCCTGTGAAACACCGTCCAGGCCACCGCCTGTTCACATCCTGGAGTGGTCATGGAGCCCACGTAGCGGTAGTAACTGTGGAGGTCCTTCGCTGGCGGGATAATGTCGCTGAGTTGAACGTTAGGGATCACAGTGCTGCTGCCTTAACACAGAAAGACGGGTGGAGAGGTGTTTGGAAGAAAAGTCGAGGTTAACTTAAATGTACAACAGACTAAAGAATGCATCTCAATAAAAGGCTCAGGGCCCTTTTACTATAAAAAAGTTAGTTTTGTTCTCAGTGATCAAACATACCATTGTTCTGTACTCGGCCCAAAGCAGCTATTACTGCGTCCAGATGAGGATGATCATCTGGTGTTTCCTGTGAGGACAACACCATCAACATTAGGACACAAGCGGAAATGCTCTTCGTATTAGGAATGCCGAGTCATCAAGAGGAATAAATATGAAAGCATTACCTCAAACAGGAAGGCAAGCAGAGCGATGCCCGCCATGTCATGTTCTGCCTCTGCCAGAGAGCCGTACGGCTCCTTGATGTGGACAATATGCAGCTGGAAACCCAAAACACAGCCAATGAGTTCCAGTATTAGTGGTGCAGCTCACTGTGTGACACACAACTGTGTGAAACATGAACTTGGCTGATATTGAAGATGGCGATGAAAGAAAAGGCTCATGTTAATCACAATAAATATGAACATATACCATGCTGTACTGCCCCCACATGCAAACTGTGGCTCCTGTAACTGTTAGTCCTACTTATATGATTTTAATAAATAAACAAACAAAACATTTTCTGCAATCTGCATATCAATATACAACTGTGACTGTTTATTGTTATGCACCAATCACCATTTGACCCCTTTGTTGTCTAAAAGATCTTTTTCAGCACACCTCTTTTATTTCCATCGCAGCCAATGATACTGAGACTCCGGTGTGACGTACCTCCATGGGGTACCTCTCTCCGTCAATGGTGTGCTCTGATCCTGGCCTCCCATTACCTCCCCAGTGGAAGTGAAATTGGGCGGCTCTGTAGTGACCAGGCAGAGCTCCTCCTGTCAGTCGGACCGACTGCGGTAGAGCAAAGTGAGCTACGGGGAAGAGAATACAAATGTCAAACCTAAGAGACATCTGGTAAAAGTCTGGAGGGGGCGAGAATAATAAAGTGGGCTCTTAAATACCCGAGTGTCCTTTGTTTTCCACTGTGACGTTGATTGTGTTGGTGTGGCCGATGAAGTTGAAGGGTGGCAGGGCGCTGTTGACGTGCACTTTGCTGGTGACGATGTTAATTGGTGATTGGCGTAATCCACCGCAGCTGGGAAACTGAGCTGCCCAGTGGATCGGGTCTAAACCATTCAAACAGCGGCAGGAACAACATCAAATTATTTGTGTTTGAAAGAAGTGGACATTTAGGAGGCAGGGGGATCTAAAACAACAAAACTGAGTTGCATTATGTATGGGATTTATTTATTTTGTCCACTTGCGCGGCAGCATTTAACAAGCTGTGAACGCAACACTGAAGTGTTTTCACGTAATTAAATTGATGGGGTGAACATTGAAGCCAACAGTTGCCTTTTTACACATCCAGCAGACTTGAAGCATCCTTAATATTTATGTGGAGTTGTATATTTGTCCACCTGATGAATGTAACTTGAATATTCACTCGTCCCTGTTTATCTCTGTTTTTGGTCTCCACCAACTCCTTTAGCTGCTAAATACTCTTTGACGGATCACAAACGTGCGATTGATTTGTCAAGTGTGTTCGTACAATTTTTGGGGTTTGTCTCTTGAAATACTCGGGAGTCTTACCTCTGCATGTGTCGTCACAGGAGTACTGGCTCTGGTAACACCACTGAGCTGGAGACAAAGCACAGCTCTCAGGTTCAGACACAGACACACAGTATATTCATGCTCAGGACATAAACAACATGGCTTCCTCCAGTTAATAAATGAGTATTAATTCTTCTCATTGTCATGCTCCATTAGACACGGTGTTTTTGTTCTCAGTCAGCAGTCTCACTGGCTGATCTGCTAATGTGTTTGTGCTCTGCAGCTGAACTTTGAGAAGTCAGAGCGGTTGAAACACACACACACACACACACACACACACACACTCACACAGATAATTATTAATTCTCACATTACTTATCCTGTCCTTCAGATGCCTTTTTGTGTTCATTAGTTTAACATAAATTCTCTTAATAGCACTTATATATAACAAAACATGACACAACAGTCAGCAGTGATAGATTAACAGTATCTAACAGGATGCACTCAGTGAAGTCCTCACCAGCCGTTCAGTGCTCAGCTCAACGCACTTTAACTGGAGGTTACATAAACACGAAAGAAAATGACTTTGACCGAGAACATTTAGGGTTAAAGAGAAGCCACAAAGACTGCTTAAAGAGAACGCTACATATCCAGCCAGCTAGAACGCTGCTGTCGTGAAAATAGGCTCAAATACACAAAATAGTGATTGTTTATGACATGTGCTTCATTAAATTATATAAATGTAATTCTAAGTTCTCCTCTATTGTTTTGATGTTGTGCTAAAAACAAAAAAAAGAGAAAATGTAATTTTGAGAATAAGCAACACAAACACCAACGCTCTGTTTTTAGCTGCAAAACAGCAAATGCTTCCTTAAAAATGTGGTCTCAGAACAGACAGCTTAAATATGACAAACCCTCAGTGCAAGTGCAGTGATGTCACCACGGTGACCTCTGAGTGTGACCTCTACGGGATTTGTGTTTGAGGAATCTCCAACATCAGAAGAAAAATCTCACTTTCTTAGACTTCTTTGGTAAAACTCCTAAACTGCTGCACTACTACTGAATATCCTCCCCTCATAGATTTACTCATCTGACATTCTCCACATCACTGATGCATTTCCTACTTCCTGCTTCCTATGTCCCCATTTTTAGGCAAATACCACAAAACAAACTCAGTGTTTCCCTTCACATGAGATTTCTTCTGAGTCAAATACTCAATGAGTTGAAACAGAAATACAATTCTCTTTACTGGGAGCAAGATTGAGAATAATGAGAGCAGAGGATGTAAATGTACACAAACCAAACATATATATATATATATATATCAATCAAATATAAAAGAAAACTGAAATCCTTAAAAGTTGAATGTGTTTGACACTTTCAATCGCAGAAGTTGGCAGAAGAACATGAGAGAAAAACTGTTTAAAATAAATGTTTGTATAATATTTGTGTTGGAGAAATGTATCATACCGTTCTTCTGTTGTCTTGTATCACTAAACCTGCATATAATCTCAACCCTCTTCCCACGAAAAGGCTGGGAACCTGGCCTTGTTGGGTGCAGCGGAGGACAACATCTCCGAGGGGGACAGGGGGGGTGAAGGGAGAGGAGACGAGCTAACGTGCACATACACTCTGTTCTGTCTGTTCATCATTGTTTGACCTCCGAACCATCCGTGGGGAAAGAGCTCTATCCATTCAGCTGAATTGTTATTGAAGTGCCTGTTCATTAAATTTGATTTTAATACTTTGAGAAGTTTACATCGTGATTATTTCTCACAGGGAGGTTAAAAAGGTGGAGGTTTCCACCACAAGTTGCATCTTGGTACATGTACTGTACTTGCTTGTAGATTTTTCTTTGTTCTCCACTGTTAGAAGTGAAGAAGTGAAGATGCTAATAATAGAAAAGACACATTGGCTTTCCTGCATATGATGAAGACGTCAAGTGTTGCAGCTGTGACCATAAGGCCTGTTGAACCAACGATCAGAGTAGAAGCTAAATGGAGGGAAGCCATCATCTTTCATTGATTCCAATGATCGTGTCTAAATCAAACAGTGAGTTGTAGATACGGAGGTACAGACAGTCGTGCAGAAGTGGATGTGATTACACTGACTGCACCGCTGCGTTAAACGTGCCCGTCAAACAGGTGCTGGTGGAGTCATTCAGTCTTGTGCTGGTGTCGTGTATTGTGTTGCAGATGTGAATGAGACTCCGGTGTCTGACTCAGCGGTGGGAATGAAAGGCGCTATAGAGAAGCATTTAGCTAATATAGGAACGCAGATTAACCCCGTTGAAGGTCCCACAATGCCATTCTGTGAAAGGGGACAACAGTTCTCACCAAGCGAGAACAATGCACAGGTGGAGTTTGGCTTCGCTCCACCTGGCTCATACACATGCAGCACAGAAAAGTCAAACCTGAGACAACCCACTGGAAATACAGCAGCTTTAATGTATTTCTCTTATAATTAAAAGACGTATCAATGAACCAGCATCCTGGAGAAATTGATTTAATCAGTGGTTTCCAAGTTTTTTTAGCCTTTAAAACAACAGAATGTACATTTTGAAAGAAGAAATAACACATTGTTCCTCTTGCAATAGAGACGTTGAACTCATAATAGAAAGCACTTAAGATCATTGATCTGGTGTGACCAGTAAATTGTGGTGGCTAATGTTAGCGCCTGTTTTTAAACAAAGCGTCTTATTCAAATTAGAGCTGCAAAGATTAGTCCATTAACCAATTAGGTCATCAACAGACAGCTAAGCATTGATTCATTTTTGTTTTAATCTTAGATTGTAGTGAATTATATGTTTTGGACGCTTGATTTGACAAAACGAGACAATCAATGACGTCACCTTGAGCTCAAATTTTTTCGTCCACAGGTATTTTTTTATTTTTACTGTTTTCTGATGTTTTGCACACTATGAAGCGAAGATGAAAGACAATCTGATACAAATATGAATATCTTTGTGCTGCAGAAGTGTTTTTTCTGCTTTTTAATTATCTTGTGATCCCATCAATCACTGCCTTTCATTTCATTTCTCTAGCTGTAAAAGGTTTTTGGTGTCACATTCAGTATTTCAAGTCACATTCACAATGCGTAGCAGCTGTGATCTTTCTTAATTAAATCATGCAACAGTATCTTTAGTATATCTTAAGTAGCTGCAACATAATACTCTTAATGTTGCGCTGAAATGATGCTCCCAAATTAAAAGAATTGGGTGTAAACTGAACTCAAGCTGAGATTTTGTATGCAGTATTAATTGTCCTACTAATATAAGTGTGTGTGTCCTACCTGTGCACTGAGAGAGGAGGGAAAGCAGAGTCGAGAGGTAGACAGAAAAATCCATGATCAGCCCAGAGACCAGAAAAGATCCTGACAGACTAATTTCAGCTGCCTTCACATACTGACTCTGAGCTGCATTTGAGGGTGGGGGGGAGGCCGTCATGAGTTAGACAAAAAAGAGAAGAGAGAAAAAAGTCACTCTGAGAAAGTTGTCAGGTGTCTGATCGAGGAAAGACGGACACCTGGTGGAAAAATCTGATAACAGTAAAAAAATAACAGTAAAAAAAAAATACCTGTGGATGACAAAGTCTGTTTACAGGTCTGTGTAGGACGACTGCATATGTGAAAATAGTTGTAAGTAGTCCTTTGTCTCCAGAGGGAGCAAAGTGAAGTCTGATAAATTTACTCAAGTCATCACTTCAGCGTCAGTTGATGCTGAAGACTACAAGTTTGCAAATTAAAAAGATTTTGAGGGTGTGGAGTTACCAGACTGCAGCTCATTCCTCAGCTCTGCTTCATACAGACGCAAAAATGTATTCACTTGAGAAAAAAAAAGTGCCCCATTTCTGAATCAACGAGATCATTATCTCAGTAATTATGAGAACCACATGCGACCAAAGATCTGTCAAGTGCGACTTAACATTTTCATAGATTGCACATTTATCAGGTCTGTCTCTGTGTGTGCATGTGTGAGAGCGCACACACGCACACACGCGCGCGCACACACACACACACACACACACACACACACACACACACACACACACACACACACGGGGTGTATGTTCCCTATAAATGGAGTGTGGTGATGTCTTGCTTATCTGTACGATGTGATGAAGACATGTGGAGTGAATGAGGACTCTTGATTGGTGAGATGCTCCTCTGCTCATCCTCTGCTAGTCTGATGAATGTCCACCCAGCGACAGATCATTGGGGGCAAAAAAAAGAACAAACAACCTGCATAGACAGAGCAATATTTGGTTAATCTCTTTTAAATTGAAATATTATCAAATCTGGTATCTCAAAAATCTAAATAAATGAATTAACCTGACATTCAAGATTAAGAATCACAAAGCTGCTGCACATGTAAAACACTGATATTATTAATTCAACTCAAGTTAAAGCATTAACGTTACTGAAGATTTTCAGTAAATGTTTTAAAGGAAACACACAACTCTGCTAAATTACATGAATTCTTACCAAAAGAACTTCTCACTCTCTGTAACAGAATAACGTTACATGACTGAGCTAACTTTAAGCTAACTTTATGTAAACAACGTTAAGCTAACTTAATGTAAATAACGTTAAGCTAACTTTATGTAAATAACTTTAAGCTAACTTTATGTTAGCTAGCCAAAACGGGATATTCGGAGCAAACACTCACCGGACAATTAGTTAAATTCTCGGCAGAACTTCGACCAGTGGCTCCTTGTAACCCATTTTGGGACAGACTTCGTTCAGAAGAACCTTCAAACTAACTTGTATGTTGAGTTAATACTTTCTGCTCTGTGTGGTTTATTTACTTTGGTTAGCTTGCTATCATTCTGAGCTCTTACTCTACTCTCCCTCGAGCGAGAAGCGCTGTTGTTGTTGATCTCTCTCTCTGCAGCGCCACCACTGCCCTCTGCTGGTCAACAATAGCTAGTGTAGAAGGAGAAAATACTAAATAAACTCACTTTTTTTTGTGCTATTTTATGTGGGTTACATTAGCATCAAAATATACTTCAAGTACCGAAAGTAAAAGCACTCATTATGCAGAGGGGCCTGTTTCAGAATAATATTATTATTGTTATATTATTGTAATTGTATCATCATTATTGATCCATTAATGTGCTCATCATTTTAATGTTGCAGTGGGTAAAGGTGCGGCTTATTTTGTTATACTGCTGAGTTTTGTATTAATACTCTGAGACTTCAAACTAAGTAACTTTGCCAAATAAAAGTAGTGCAGTAAAAAGTACATTATTGACTTCCAAAATGTAGTGGAGTAGAAGTATAAAGTAGCATAACATGGAATATTTAAGTAAAGTACTTAAGTACATTCCTTGAGTAAATGTATTTGCATTCCACCACTGAGTGAGAGATTTTGAAGTATGTCGTTACTTCAGAAAAAAAAGCAGATTATTTTTCTTTTTCCCAGAAGTACCTTAAAAACTATCTTCTTAAATCAGAAAAACAGCAAAAACACATTATGATTATGTACTGGAATGGCTTTATAAATGTAATAATTAATTGTGAAAAAAAATAATAATTTAAAATCAAATCACAAACTGATACATGTAGAAATATATTTATTTGAATATTAATCCAATACAGAAATACATGTATGTATATTCAACTATTAATTACAAATCGCTTAAAATTGTGATGGTTTGATAAAACCAAAAACAACGTTAGTAACTACAGTTATTTATAGACCACTAAACAAGTTACAAGGTTGCTTAAATTTGTTAACAAATTTAAATTAATGATCAGTTATTAGCTGAACCATCATTGAAATGGAACGGACACAAAGTGAACTGTAGGCTACTTTGACACAATAAAAACTGTTTCATTAGACAGAAATTGCAACTAACTTCATTTGTTTCAGCCCTTCATTGAACATTCATTAATTGTTATCAAATGCTGCAAATGTTGTTGATATCACAGTCATAACACATCTTGTTACTTCATTTGAAATAATGCAACGCAAAATCACAGCATTATATTGTGTGATTTAAAGTGTATTTAAAGTGTTTTTAAAGTATGTAAACGTTATCTTACGGGTTAAAAATAAACATAGTAATGCAGAAGACACATTTAAGAGCCATACATAAATAATTACCTTCATGAAAATAAGATGCTGGCTACATTGAAACTTCTGACACAGTTATTGAAATATAAAATTAATTAAGGCATCACCCCAAACATTTCCCATATTATGTCCTGAGCAGATGATGATCTGATTCATACAGACACTAATCGTTGAAATGGTTTGAAATTCATGCCGTTCTTTTCTTCAAACAAGACACTTGTTGTCTGTGAAGCAGCGCGATGTCTTCAAAGGAGATACTTCTGGAGGAAAAAAAGGAGATATTCTTCATCATTTTATCACCTCTCTTTATCAGGAGGAAAATACTTCACCGTCAAGCATCTCAAAGGTATAAGCTGTGACGTGTTTGCCTCCACTGGGTGCCTGTCCTGTTTGTATCCTGTGTTGTGCACAAGTTTGTTAGTAGTATCATCAAAATGTACTCAAAGTATCAAAAGAAAGTACTCATTATGCTGTAAAATGGTCCCTGGCAGTGTTTTACTATTATATGTAATGTTTTTGGATTAATATGACTGATGCTTTAATGAGTATGCTGCTAATCTTAACTACTTTATATACTGATGTGTTGTTTAATATTCTATAGGATCATCATATGTTATGAGTCAACTTTTCATGAGCTCAGAAAAACAGCCTGGTTTTCAGCTTTGTTATTACACATTTTCCAGCTGATCTTCGTGGGTTTTTTAATAGTTTATTTATCTTAAGAAGTAGGAGATTTTTCTCAACACATAAAGGAACACTTCATCCTTCAGTTTATCAGAAATCATAATCACCAAATGTGGAGATTATGTGGTTTTCACTGGACAGGAAAGGTTATGAAATATTGTAATTTGAAAGGTAACTAAAGCTGTCAGTGAAGTTTAAAAAACTACAACATGTCCCTCTATAAAAGTAGAAAGTTGCATAAAATGGAAATATTCAAGTAAAGTACAGGTACCTTGAATGTGTAAATTCTGAAACTGAAATTAAACTTCTTGGCATCTGCAAAATATACACGCAGCCGATGACTGGCATTTCAATCTTCCCAGTTCTTTGCAACCTAAATAAAATACTCTGACAAACATCTTAAAGTTGGTGCTTGAAGAGCGATCAGTGTGTTTTTTTCTTTCATCTCTGCCTCCTCATGACACACAACGTGAACATGTTTGTGTCTGTGTTCGTCTCCTCTGTGACTCACCTGCAGCACAACAGCAGCCACCACAGCCAGGACGGCTAACAGCGTCATCCGCCCGATCCAGCCCATGTCCACGTTATTCAGGATGAAGAAGCGCGCCCAGCCCAGTTTCTTGAGTGTGTGAGGCGGGTAGCGCATGCTGTTCACACCTTCCATTTTCAGCTGCTTGATGAGACAACCACGCAGGTGGCTCAGCTGGTCGAAGCTGAACTTCCCGTGGTAGCAGCCCATACCACTGTTTCCTGTTCAGGAAAACAGAGGGCGAAGGTTTGACTGTTTCATGGCTTTAAATCAATCAAAAATATTTTTTTGTGGGATCAAATATTTCAGCTACGGGGACAGAAATCAACCCTAAAAAGGTAAAAGAGAGTGATTTCCTTATACCTGTCAGACATCCGTTGGTTTTCATTAATGTCTGAAAGGTATCAGTCTAAAAAGTTGTGAGTGATGCACTGATGGGCTTTGTAACCGTAAATCAAATCGGGTCTTTTTAAGCATTTGTATGTCCACAGAAAAGTGCCATAGTTTTGAAACCTTTTTCTTTCCAGGTATGTTTGTGACTTATTGGCTTTATTTTTCCATAACATCACACTAGAGAGCACCTTTACGCCCCTCTGCACGACCTACACAGGTAGTACTGAGTGAGTGAACAGCTTAGTTCCTCAACAAGTCAAACAGCAAAAGAATAAAAACCACGTAAACTCGTTTTTAGAACCATTTCTACAAAGAGTTGTCGCTGTTAGTACTCACCCACTCCTCCGAAAGGCAGCGAGCTGACAGAATAGTGCACGAGACAGTCGTTGGCCAGCAGTCCTCCACTGGAGGTCTCGTCTGTCATTCTCTTTATCACCTGAAGAGAGAGAAGTCATGTTCTGCTCATGAATCTGTAACTACACCCTGTACGTGTAGACGCCTGCATCTGTCAACTCCGCTCCTCTGCGTCTGCATGTGTGATACAATGTCTGATATACCTTGTCATCTGATGAGAAGACATAGAGGGCCAGAGGTTTCTCTCCTTTATTGATAAACTTGATTGCTTCGCCCAGGCCGTTGACCGGCAAGATGGGAAGCAGAGGTCCAAATATCTCCTCCTGCATCACCTTCGCCTCTGGCTTCACGTCCCGCAGAACTGTGGGGGCTAAACACAACACAGAACAACTGTTTATCAAATATTGCATGGTTTTCATGGTCTGTTCTTCATCACTTACGTCTCTGTAATTGCCTGAATGAAAACCATGAAAAGAGCTCCCTCCTGATTGATTTTCATTTGGCTGTCGGCAGGATTACCTATGTAGCAGTCTGACTCGTCGTTGTCTCCTCCAGCAGCGATGGCGCTGTCCTCCAACATGTTCATTATTCTCTTGAAGTGGCGCTGGTTGATGATGCGTCCGTAGTCCGGACAGGTCTTTGGGTTGTCGGTGTAGAACTCCTGCCAGAGGAAACGATGTCGTTACTACACAAGTATTCTTGTTACATCCACGCAAAGAAGACTGATTCAACTGAAGAAGTACTGTAATGGTACATTTTTACTTAGTATATATTTCTACTCAGTATAGATATTTCTACGTAGTATAGTATATGTAGTATAGTGTATATTTCTACTTAGTTTGCTCTGAACTCAGGTGAACTTCACTGTGTTAGCGTACACGCCCAGATGTATCTTTCTTATTGCACAAAAGAAGAATTCACCCTTGCAGGCGAGCAAACATAACTGTAACTGTAACTGTGTTGTATGAGAATGTTCCAGCGCCAAGGCCGTCCCGCCGCTTTGTTTCTATTGTTGTTTCTATCAGTCTGAGACCAAAATGTCTGTAACATCGGCCCCCACCGTTGCTCCTTCTGTATAAAGAAAGCGCGTTCACTTTACACTTGGTTCTTCCTCACTGAGACTGTACACAGTCTGTTGGGATGATTGAACCTTCTCTGCGCAGAGAATAGATACTTAAAAGACAACCTCTAGTTTCCGGTATCCTATTTCAGCATTAAAAGACTCACGCAAAGCGGGTATGGAATATTTTTTCCTAAAGTTTTGATTGTTTTGTGGTGTACTACGAATCAGTTTGGAGTCTTTGACAAAGAATCTTGCGGAGAGCATTATCTGTTTTTGAAGTTTAGGATTGAATGAATTACTTTTCCTGAGTGTGTACTCAGGTCTTCAGTACCTTTATGGACTTCTTGACCTCTTCAATGACCCGGTCCAGGACGCTGGGCTCACACAGGATGTAGTCTGGGGCGATGCAGGTCTGACCACAGTTGGTGTACTTTCCCCAGGCAATACGCCTACACAGCAGCGGAAGAGTTAACAGGAGGAGCTAAAGAACAGCTACAGTAAAACCAGGGACCGGATGGAAACAAATGTTTGGTCCACGTCTAATCATCGTTCTGACCTGCAGGCTATGCTTATGTCACAGTCCTTGTCGATGTAGCAGGGGCTCTTGCCGCCCAGCTCCAGGGTGACAGGCGTCAGGTGTTTGGCAGCGGCCTCCATGATCAGTTTGCCCACCATGCTGTTGCCCGTGTAGAAGATGTGATCAAACCTCTGACGCAGCAGCTCCTGGGTCTCGGACACTCCCCCGGTTACTACAGGGTAAAGCTCCTGACACACAGGGTGGAAACACACACTCGGTTATCACAAAGCAGCACGCAGTCCCTCAAGCAACGTGCTGTGTGTCTTTGTAGCACTCAGTTTTAAACAAGTCTTGTGATGCATCTTTTTTGTTTTGTTTTTGTAGACCTTTTAGTAGAAATAATAGAGTTTGCTGGATATTTTTCACAATAAAAGAGCCAAGCAAAGACTTTCACTTTACCTGTTATGAGCCTTTGTGTGCATGGTTGCCCACCACCAACTTTACATTCTATCCTAAAGGTGAGAATTGTTTGCCTGATTACTGTGTCAGTACACATGGAGCCAGCAGGAAAAAAAGAAAGGCTAGTAACGTGGACTATAAACACGGCCAAAAATCTGTGTTTTTGTTCAAAGAGGAAATAATCCTGTTTGAGTACATTTTTCTTCAATTTATCATTAACATTATATTTAATTTGTCTGTTGTCAATTAAGTCTGCTTAAGAAACAACAATATGCTGACATGTCATGAACAATAACAGTGTCTTGGTTCACTTTCGTGTCACGTCATCCTTACTTTGTCGATGTACAGCGGCAGCAGGTCCTCCATGACCTTTGAAGTGTGAACACAGACCTC